GTCGACAAACTACAAGAAGAAGAAGAAGAAGAAGAAGAAGAAGAAGAAGAAGAAGAAGAAGAAGAAGAAGAAGAAGAAGAAGAAGAAGAAGAAGAAGAGGAGGAGGAGGAGAAAGAAAACGAGAGGAGGAGGAGAAGAAGAAGAAGAAGAAGAAGAAGAAGAAGAAGAAGAAGAAGAAGAAGAAGAAGAAGAAGAAGAAGAAAAAGATGAGCCGAGAAGTTTAGGTGGACGGACCTACCAAATGATGATGATGATGAAGAAGAAGAAAAGAAGAAGAAGAAGAAGAAGAAGAAGAAGAGGAGGAGGAGAAAGAAAACGAGTGGGTAAGACTAAGAAAACGAGAGGAGAAGAAGAAGAAGAAGAAGAAGAAGAAGAAGAAGAAGAAGAAGAAGAAGAAGAAGAAGAAGATGACCCGAGAAGTTTAGGTGGACGGACCTACCGAATGAAGAAGAAGAAGAAGAAGAAGAAGAAGAAGATGGGGAAGAAGTATGGCTGCGGTAGGGTATGGCGGCTGAGTGTGGCGGTAGGGTATGGTGGTAGGGTATGGCGGCGGCGGGGTATGGCGGTAGGGTAAGGCGGCGGTAGGGTATGGCGGCAGTAGGGTATGGCAGAGGTAGGGTATGGCGGTAGGGTATGGCGGCGGCGGGGTATGGCGGTAAGGTATGGCGACGGCGGTAGGGTATGAAGAACGGGAGGGAGGGTGTGGCATACTGATACCACACGGGCCCCAGTTAGGGCCCGGTTCTGTAGTAGGCACGGGTAGGCCTAGTGACCGGGTCTCGACGGTCCCAGTTAGGTTTAGGTAGGCCTAGGACCCGTCGGTTCAGTTTAGGGTCCGGTAGGCCTCGTTTAGACCCCACCAGACCCAACGGCTAGTTGCTTAGGCCAGGTACCAGGTCCATCGGCAGGACCGGCTGGTGGTGCAGTTTTGGCGCCACTTTTCAGATTCCGAAATCGGATCTGAACCGTTGGGCCTGATCAACGGTCCAGACACGAAGACCTTCAGTAGGACTGAGGCCGACCCAGCACTATATCAGCTGGGTACCAGCCTCAGTCGGTAGGTTAGTAGACAGGAGGTTAGTCTTCAGGATTAGCGCAGCGCCTCAGCTGTAGCGGGGTTAGCGTGGCACAGCAGCGTTAGTACGAGCAGCGAGGAGAGATCGAGCACAGCGGCGAGGAGGACTTAGCGCAGCAGTTGGAGCAGCGCCAGCCACCGGCCCAGCCCGCGGCCCAGCGCCCACCTGCTGCAGCGCCCTGGCTACCCAACCAGGTACCAGGGAGGAAGGCCTTGCCTTCTCTCCCTCTTCCTCCTCCGCCACTCTCTCTCTCTCTCTCTCCTCCTACCTTCTCAGTCTAAGTCTACTCCTGGGTTCTCCTACGGGACTACTACGAGTATGAAAGATGGTTACGAGTTCTGATGATATTGGAGACCGCGACATTGGGACTGTAGGTTGAGGACTACTCTTGGGATCTGATTTCATCTTCCTCTGAAGATGTACTTGACATTGTGAGATCGATATCTGAGACATTGTGAGACACTGTGTTCGCGACATTTCGGATTTTCGCTACCTTTGACATTTCAAGATACTATCTTTGGATACATTAAGTTGACGTCATCTTCCCTCTCCTCCTCCCTTCGTCTCTCCTCCCTCCATTCGTCCGTGTATGATCTCAGACCCTGGCCTTTCTTCTATGTCCAAGGCCAGGGCTTTCACACCACTGATGCATGATTGAGAGTGTTCGATTGCAGTCTGAGTCATGGGTATCAACTCTTCCGCTGTATTTGTATTTGTATTTGTATCAACTCTGTATTATCTGGTCGGTTCTGGGAATCTGCACCATACTTATGACTGTGTTTCACGAGTATGCAACAGAGGGAGTAGGGAAGGACGGGAAGAAGAAGACGAGGAGAGAAGAAGATCTAGCGAATGCTGCAGAAGAAGAAGAAGAAGAAGAAGAAGAAGAAGAAGAAGAAGAAGAAGAAGAAGAAGAAGAAGAAGAAGAGAGGTGAGGAGGGGAAGAAGAAGAAGATCAAGAAAGGTCGAGGAGAAAGATGAAAATGCGAGGGGGAGGAGGGTAAGAAGAAGAAGACGAGAGAACGACAAGAAAATGAGGAGGAGAAGAAGAAGATAAGCGGAGAAGGAGGGGGAGGAGGACGGCCTTCTTTTTTTTCTTTTTTTCTTTTTTCACCTGTCGTGTCTCACGTGACCTACCGAATGTTGACGAACTAGAAGATGAAGAAGGAGAAGGAGAAGGAGAAGAAGGAGGAGAAAGAAAACGAGTGGGAGAAAGAAAACAAGTGGGAGGAGGAGGAGGAGGAGGAGAAGAAGA